CATGTTTCTGCATACAACGGAAAATTTACTTTTGTATGTTTTGTACGTATAATTTTAAAGTTTCTAATGCGATGTAGCTCTGATTACATGTATGGAGGAAGAAGGGATGGTGTGACACAGAGGGGAGACGACTGTCAAGTTGCACTAGGGGTGTTGCGATATACCAAAACTGACGATAACTGCAATATATAAAAATTAAATACTGATGTAATGTAAATAATACACATGTGACAATACTGTGTAAATAATTCAGCCCTTCTTCTCACTATGTCTTTCTCCCCCAATGCCATCTGGTTGCCCTTTCACATTTCATCAAGTGTAATTATGATTTTGTACAGTTATGGTTGCAGACCCTCTCTCCACCTCCCTACACTCCTATTTTGAATCTAATTAATTTGCAAAACAAAACAACAAAAATGAAGCAAAATGCACAATTTAAAAAGAAAATTGCTATCACAATATCATCATGAACTCTTCTGAGTATGATAATCATGCAGTGAAAATCTGATATGGTGCCAGCCCTGCAGCAGACCACCATATGACACCAACAAACAACCAAACTGGCTAATTTTAGTGAGACATCAGCATCATTTCCAGTCACATTGTGCCAAATTTCCTCCACCATTTTTATCTCGGGTTGCTGGAAAATAGTGTTTATTGTAAGACTGCAATTGCTTTTTTTAAGAGACTTTATTTTCCCATGTCATCAAGCCCCAACTGAGACAACAGTAATTTGTTTTGGCAATCAACCCACACAGATAAGCTTCTGATGGATGGCCACGGGTGCAGGACTGTGGCAGCCAGTATTTTTCATCTTGTCCAAGAAGATGTCAGCTTTTTAAATTCCTAAAGTTGTGTTTAATCCGTTCTGATATTATCTGAATAATGCTGGTATTGTAGGCAGTACAGTGAATTGAGCCGTGAAAGGCTCCATGTTGCCTGTCGTTGGATTAATGAGACAATGATGTGGCTGTGAGGGGGGATGGAGACCGGAGACAGAAGCAACAGCTGAGAAAGCCCTTTCAGTTTCTAAAGTTGGTCTGTCTGTCTATGGTTAAGTCTGGCTGCATCTGTTAATACCCACACCCCAACGGCTGTAGGGTGGTGTAATATCTAAATCTGCATGGAGCTATTTTGGCCAACCTACACACGCTTTGTTAAGCTCTTCGTAGAGTTATTGCATGTGGAGTCATCAAGACAGAGCACAACAACAGCCTTTATTCCCTTCTTTGTTGAGACAGATGAAAAGATGATATAATACTGTTTTATCTTGTGTAAATACAGTGCTGCATGGCTGTAGTATCACTTACAGAAGTCTTACTAATTCATCTGCCTGTGGTGAACATGCTCGTACTGTTTTTTTTCCCCCTTTCGCCTGAAGGAAATAAGCACTTTACCACAGTCACTGCCTTTACGTGCAAACAGTGTCTAACAGACGTGTGCACAGCTATAGTTATGAATTCCTCCGGTCTGGGAGGTCATGTTGCCAGAAAGCGAGGCAGGATGTGGCAAAACGTCTCTGCTGCTTCTACCTGAGCACAGCTTTCATCTCCTCTCTGTCTCATCCCTCTCTTCCTGTGCTGCTGCTTTGCACCAACCCACACAGTGTGAGCTTAGAGAAAACAAATCAGTTGCTGCAACCCAGGGGAAAAAAAGCTGTTAAAATAGAGCCAATTTCATATTTGTGGGCAAAAAAAGATGTGCAGTTCACACTCAAGCTTTCCACTGCGATCAGGCGGTCTGCAATTCTAACACAACTATCCCAGCGCTCTACTCCGTCTTTCCTCAGTCTTTCCCATCTGTTGCATTTATCCTGAACATCATGTCACTTTTTCCCCAGTGGTTTTCTGGTCAGGAGAGATGAACCAAAACCAGCTGCTCAGATTTGATTAACACTCAGAAGTGTTGCTCCCTTTGAAAATATTTGCACACTGAAGGTGGCTGACCTTGCTCCTTGTGCTGATTGTTGCACCCATGGTGTAAAACATGGATGTTGTTTTTGGTGATGCAATGCAATCAGGGGTGCACATCATGCATGCGTGTAAACCTGGAGGGAAGCATTTGACATATGAGGCTCCGCTGAGATCAAGAGGAGGTGAAAAACATGTTCACTTACTCACTGGTAGCATCAGGATGCTGGGGCAGAGACTTCAAGGTGAAGGCCTATTTGTAAATGCATGGGTTTGATTAGTTTTTAGTGTATGGATCAATAAAAATCAGATGTGTGGACTTGACCTGGACTCGAGTAAGACTCAAGTCACAAATATGATGACTTTAGACTTGAAATGACTTGTGACTTCACCTGGACTTGAGCCTTATGACTTGGAAATACTTATTACCTTACCCCACGCCCAAAGACTGAAAGTATTTTATGTATGAGTTTGACACGAATCAATTCATTTCCCTTTATTTCCTGAATCAACTAACGTTAACGCAGTTATTCCCAGTAAGTCGTCACTTTATTCCCCAGATCCACTGTGAACCAATCTGACAACATCCAATCAAGTTGCAGGGAAGAACCATGAAAAACTAACATTATGTTACTAGTTGAAAAAAATTCTACCAAAGATAATTTGGTTCATGTACAAAAACTATGCAGTGGTCAACAAAAGACTAATTGCAGAGTGCAGAATGTGTGGGTCAAAAATTACAGTCGGAAACCAAACAACTACTAGTTTTGTTCGACAATTGAAGTTGCACAGAAAATGGTAAGTTGGTGCTAATTAGAGAGCTAATGCTTAGCTAGCGCAGGCTTAACAGCTAAGTTACTTTTTAATGAATAAATACAAGCAAGCATCCCTGTTTGTTTGTTTTTTGTAGATTTAATATATTTTTACTCTCTTGTTGGCATTGCATTTGCTGAGTGCATTATGACTTGTTCAAGACTTGAAACTCAAAGGACTTGAAACGTGACTTGGGACTTGCCTTTCTTGACTTATGACTCGAGAGCACAGACTTAAGACTTATGTGTGAATTTGCAGAACAATGACTTTGTTCCACCTCTGATATAAATCAACATTTGTGAGAGATCTTCTTCATCCTATTTTTTCATTTTACCCACAGTTCAGTTAATCACGCTGACATTACAGATGTGCCTTCAATCCAGTAGAATAACTCTTTATGCAGAGAACTGATTAAAGAAAGACTGTAACACCATTCATCTGCACATACAGTAACAGTACCCATTTGATTTCTTTCCCAAACACTATAAATAACCATTGACTAAACATCATGGGGGGCTGCTCCATCAGAAGCTCAGACTAAAGCTAACTTTGCATCATAAAATAATATGTTACCTGACAAAAAAACAATTTGAGGATTCTCAAGAGGCCACACACTGCTTCTCCTATAGACCTGTTTGCCAAGTGTTGTTTTTAGATTGCAAACAAGGCAATGAGATCCTGGGCCTATTCTGATCTCTTATTTTTATCCCTGCCGTAGTGTTTTTCGCTGTTGCCAAAAAGGATTAGGAATTTATCTTTTAATACCACTCGAGCGTCAGCCCTGCACGTCATCCTGCAGTCTTGAGGTGAATGACTTCCAGCACCAGCGTTTGGGAACCAACTGATTCTCTGCTGTCAGGCCACAGAGGAGATGTTTGTCCTTTTTGTTAACCACAGTAGTTGATGTGGCGGACATACCAGCAGCGAGAGAAAGGGTTAAGACGTGGGTGGCGTGTTAAGCATTTAAATCAACCGGAGCTATTGGGCTGTTTATTTTTATGAGGTGCCAGACCTTTGCTGCTCCATTCAGACTGCTTTACACTGAGGTCACCACAAACAGATTAGAGATCACACCAGTGTGTGACCTAGGCTCACCACCATTACACCACTGCAGGAATGATTTATAGACTTAATGAAAGCATGACATCATGTATTACATTGACCTACTGTTAGCCCTCCCCTAACCCCGTAAGTGGTAACATACATGCAATCTACCCAAGCAAATTAGGGTCTGCCTGTGCAGACACATGGAGGCATCAGTTGCTTGTTAATTACAAATTGCACAACACATGACACATAAGATATATATTGAAGCTCTGTATAAGCAACCAAAGAAGGTGGGGAACACTTATCGACTGAGGTGAGATTACCCAGTAGCCCTCTGAGCCTGAACCTGCTCATTACATGGAATCCTCTTTCTGCATAAACAATGGTTTACAACTAAGAACATAAACAAAGAATTTAGACAGCTTGCAATCACGCTCTGTAAGGATTCAGGATTTTGCAATTTTGCAGATGTAGTCTTGTTAACAAGGCAAATTTCCTAAGAAAGGTTGACGGCTCTTTATTCTCACGAAATGTTGGTTGCATGTAGGCCACTGTCAGCAGCCACCGGGTATTCTCATTCTGAGACGGAGCTGCAATGAAAGTGACTCGAAAACATTTTGTCGGTGAGAGCAGTTTCACTTCCAAACATCGTCTAACAAGGACACCTCATCAGTCGGGCGTTTGACGAGATCCTTCCACAATCATACCTCCTTCATGTCATAAGCAAGGCATGGAAACAGGTCATTTTAGTTCTTCAAAGAGAAAGGAAAAATCTGGGATGTTATCAGAGTAGGACATCTTAACATAACTGCACAGGCCTCCGGGGGAGACTCATAAAGTAACAGCAGTGAATTTAACAGGACAGTATCACAAAGTCATGAAAAAAAAACACTTATGTAAGGAGACCCCCCCCAACCCCCCCTTATTTTTTTACACACCCATGGGCGACAAAATTGAGAGGAAAGAAAGGCCATCTTTAAAAATGTGGACAAAAGACCATCTGTGTGTCCAACACATTTACCTAAGGGAGTCATAAGAGAACTTAATAGTGTACATTTACCCTGATCCTGCAGCGGCCACTTCTTTAACACTAGATTGCTTTTGTCCCGCCACCCGCGACCTTTTACCTCCTCTGGCTCCCTGTACAAATGGCAGCTTTTACAAAGAGCTCATGAACATCTACACATCATAAATACAAACTCAGGCAAAGGTTGAAACATTATCACTTACCCTTGTAGTTAAAGCCATAAAAATGCCCCCACTACATCAATCAGATCCATATCGTGGACACTTCTTTGGACCGTACCCAGATGCTAATTTACAGCCGGGGTCTTGTTAAAAAGCAAGAGCTGTGTTTTCTGACCCAGTCATGACAAGCCCTATTTGTTCCAGTGGCTCGGAAAGCGTCTGCGTTCCCCAGGTCGCGGCTGAACTTCTCACATTTATGTTAGCTAAACTGCAGGCTGGCAGGCTAATTCGCTGGTATGTGTTTTCATTAGGTCTCAGTAGAGCTGCCTCACTAACTTGGTTCCTCTGAACTCTGACCCCAGCTTTAATGGGAAGGCTGGCGGAGAAAGAGGGTCGAGGCACCAGAGTGGGCTCACTTAAAGACTTAAGGTAACAATTTGAGGAGGCGTAACAGGTTATGCAACCTTGTCACTGGACACTAATGACTCGGTAGGGCCTGAGGAATGTCCTCGCTCAATAGGTCTCTTTTACATCAGTTGCTGTTTGTGGCAACAAAATTAGCGTGGCTATGGTAAGATTGAATAAATCCTGCTCTGTGTGCTAGATAACAGCCATGTAGGGCATGTGACAAACCGCTAGCAATGTGCTCAGCCACAGGCCATAAAACCAGCACAGAGGAACCTGTCATCCCTCTGTTTTTTCACTCCTTCCCTTCCCTCGAGGCAGCGCAAATACTCATGTCCTCATTTAGAAACATGAAGAATATAGGCTGGTATGAGTCTCTCCCCTCCTCAGGAAGATGATGTGGCCACTCATATGAGCAAGAGTTCTCAAACAATCAGATAAAGACTTTTAAAATAACTGATAAGTCAAAGGTAAAAAATGTTCTTCTCATTTTAACATCACTGTCAATTAAAAATGACAGGGTTTCAGGGAGGTGGTCAGACAAAACAAGCAATTTAAAGACATCTTATTGACTAAATGATTCATTGAAAAAGTAATAGATGGCAATGACTGACACCCAGCATGACCCTGGCTTCTTTGCCTACTGCTTCAGGGTACAGTGATACTTTTCAGGAAGGTCAAACGTCTCACGCTGTCTCATGTGGTCTCCTTTACACGAGGTGTAAACTGTGGAAGAAAACCACAGCTTCCACCAGCAGTTCCTTTATCGTCTGGGATTGACTCTCAGCTGAGGAAGACTTGCTGTGTTTGTGTGTGCTGCTCTGTTTGCTCGGGGTCAGCCCAGGCCTCGGCCTCTCTAGAGGTTTCACAGTCTCATAGATTTAGCTTCAGCGAGGACCTTTGTAGCTTAGGTGACACATTTCCCGTAGAGCCCAGGTCATTGTCACATTTGTCCACTCTGCAGGCCCTAAATATCAATCACTTTTCCTCATCGGCTTGTCTTTGTGTTCACTATACAGGTTACAGGGTGATTTTATATGTTATATAACAGATATAAAAAAAACTCAATCACCTGGACTTTCCCTTCAAAGCTCCAAATAACTTTGTCTGTGCCACCCATGCTGATGAGTCGTCTAATGGGATGTTTTGAATTCTTCTGTAATGACATGCAGCTTCGATGGGCAGACCAACAGCTCTCCCACAGATGAGAAAACACAAAGCTGTGCAGAATGCTCTCATACCCCAAGGGCAGCTTCACATTCACTGCGAGTGTGAGAAAATGTCTCACCTGTAGCACGGCCAAGCCCACATGCAAGTAGCATGAAAGCACATACCAACAATAACAAACATGCCTGAAATGTTTGTGAGCATGTCAGTATGCAAATGGTGCATTTTGTTTTACCCTTAAGTTTCTTTTAGGAGTACATTTTGGGGTCGATGGGTACAACATGAAGTTAGAAGTAAGGAGGGAAAAGGTTAATCAAGTACAGTCAATGCTGAGGTTAAGTAGTGCCGGACTTAGCACACACACAACTTGCCACCCTCCTTTGGGTGGTGGCCATGTATGTTGCCTTTCCTCCACTCAGATGACACACTTGGGTGTCTTATTAATTATACCTTGTAAATACGTATGGAGAGGGTAAATGACTAAGCGAATCGAATAGCTTACAGGAAAAGGAAAAGGAAATGGAAATGCAAATAGGAAAGGACATTGCCCTTGACTAAAATCTGTATTCTTAATTCAATTTGTGAATCTAGTTACTTCTCTTCTTGAACTGAATTTTCATATAGATTTTTAGATTTTCCATAAATCATTAATGATTTCCATTTCTCATTCATGAATCCGTGAATTGTTAAAGTACTTACTGACTCTTTTTTGGTACCTCCCTTTTTTAACTTGAATTAATTATTGATGGATTAATATTTCATTTATAAATTATTTTATAATCCCTCTTTTTATTGCCCATTAACAAATTAAATAATTAATTACTTCATAGTTAAGTCTACTTATTAAGTCTAATTTAACAAGTCTACTTGTTAAGTCTAATTATTTCTAAATCAGTTAAATTTGTGACACTTGTAGTCCTCCATACACTTGGACTCTTTTTCTACATTATTTAGTCACCTGAAAGTTAAGGCTAACAAATGCAAGCTGACAGAGCTGCCAACATTTTAACTATTAGACTGATCTACATTATAAGGTGTACAGTGCACAGTAGTTTGACTACCTTAGTGTTGATATTTGTATGTTTTATTTGTGTCATATATGTTCAATTATTACAACTATATTATTAGTCTGAGTCATCATGAGAACTGTTCAACTGAAACTAATGATAATAGTCTCTGTTTGTGTTTGTGTACCTGTGTCGATAAGCTCCTGCCACTCAGACGCACTGACTGCCAGCTGACTCGCACCTCCTCTCCGGCACACTCATTGGCCTCCGCTGCGGAGCGTCAGCGCAGTGGGGCGGCCCTGACAAGGAGTTTATTGTCAGGAATGTGTAGTAGCACTCAGACTAATTTACCGCACCGACTGTGCCACACTCCTGCAGGGCATCATCCTCCTGTTTGGGACGCGCGTACTGGATTACCTCCCGGTGGTTTGACACAACTGCTGTTGGCTCTAATCGACTACTTTATCATGCGAGTATATACTTGAAAAATCGCCTTTGTTGTATTTTCTTTTTTTCCTGGAAGAAGATTGTTTCAATTCAAGCGCGACTTCAATGCTAGACTCAGCAAAGATGAGCAAAAACGGAATCGTGACAAAGATCCACACGAGGATAAGAGCTGACCCGTTCACAGCCAATTACGACCTGGTCGGCAGAGAACTGGGCAGGTGAGTCCGTTTGCTGCAGCATTCATTGATGAAAAACTGAAATCCGTGCGCTGACGGAAATGGCATTTGCAGGAATATCTCGATGAGCTTATGTAAATCTGGTAATCATATTAGAATTTACGCTCTGCACGTGTTAATGGGAAGCGTGTTAATTGAACATTTCCAACCCCGCATTCCATCTCGGGGAAAGGCACAGATTGGAGACGCGCTTTGGCACGCGCAATGGTAATGCGCTTTTGTGCGTCTTCTGTGAAAGTTTCTGCCAAGTTTTCGGACTTAATGATCTTTTAGTTTAAGAAATGAGGTGGACAGTAATGAGTTCTATGAAGAAGGGTCAGAGAATTTGTGAGATGAGGAGGGACATGAGTTTGCATATGTCAGCACTGTTCATATGTCTGACATCCAAGGGGTGAAAGTATTTCACTATGTGTTTTGAAATTCCACAAGATGTGTTTGTTTCTGTCGATGCTCATTTAAAGTGTGTGTTCTGTGCTGCATGTGGTGGTGAAAATGTCAACTTTCTCCAAATACCATGAGCTGAACTTCAGTATTAGTTTGGGAGTCATATTGTGTCACAGTGTGAGTGATATAAGTGTTATAATGGATGGATTACTAAAGGAGCCCATCGGTCACGGGCCAAAGGGCCCACTGGCCGCCACCTGCAAAATGTCAAATTAACACGCATCACCTTGGAAGAAACTCAGAATGACCACAGAGATGCAAAGACACTGCAAAGAGACATCATAAAACTACAAAAGGGCATTACAACCCCAAGGAGACACAAAATGACCACAAAGTGACACAATATGACAAAAGGAGCATAACAGCTACAAAGAGATGCAAAACCAACACAAACTCTGTGTGTCTTTGCTCCTATGTAGGAGAGGTGGTGGGGCCCTTCATGTATCTGTGCCCAGGGGCCCACTGTCTCATAATCCACCCATGAGTGTCATGTAAAATGACAATATGTACAACAAGACTAATGGGTGAACAGTATGGAAACAATGTGATCCTACTTCTATATTTTAAACATTATATTCCTTTTTCCCAGTGTGAAATTTGCCGTCTCCAATCAGCCGCTCTTATGTCTCTCTCCAGCCAAATCCATTTTGTGCTTTATACTCACTGATGTGTTGATCACACAAACAGAAGTGCACATTCCTGCAGTATTTAAGCGGGGATTCCCCAATGCGCCGGACAGTAATGACTCTCCTAAAAAAGCATTCTGAATTAGCGCAAGGAGCCGCAGTGGACTTCTTGGGTTTCACTTAACTCGACAGCTGTTTCATTGCCCTTTGTGCCAATACTGCATCTGTCTCCATGACTCCAATCTTCAGTTAGTTTGCTTAGAGTGTGGTGGGACAGCCTAAATAAAGAGTCAGTTGGTAGCAGCCAGTTTTCCTTGTCAGACACCCTGGGACATACTGGGACAGCAGCCAGAACCCATGGGGGGGGGGGGGTTGGATTGAGGCTGCATATGAAGTGTAGCAGCCTCTAAACGCCCCCTCTCTCTCCTCTCACCCCTTCATCCTCTTTCCCTCCTCTTCCCATGAATCCAACCCAACAACATCCTGAGATCAGGCCTCATAATCGCATTAAGTGCAGGAATGTATGCGGTGCTGCATACCAGCAGATCAGCTATATAGACTGTACATTAGCAGGGATGTTGACTCTGTTAGAATTTGTAAGTGTAGGCTGAACTCTCTTGAAGCTTGAAGTCTCTTGGCCTTATTTTCAAAAACCTTCTTATCACCAAGCTTTGCAGTATGAGTGATGGTCCCCTGCAGAACTATACACAAACACATGTTGTGGCCAACTCGAAAGCAGGAAGAGGAACTCATGTTGTGTGTCAGTCTGTCTGTGAAACAGGCAAATGAGAGCTGTGAGGGCTGTCATTTCTCATCGCAGTTCAGACATGAGTCAGTGCCCCGCTGAGGGAGACAAAACGCAGACTCCACAGGAAACCAGCTTCTCAATCAAATTTTCACCATCTCCAGGCCTGGAGAAGAGATAGTTTTGTGTGTCACAGTGAAGTTGTTGATTGATGACAGACTAGATGGAATCTACCCTGCAAATGAGCTGTTTGATCTGCATGATTGTGTCTGTGGATCCAGACAGGATGTTTGAGAAAGCACTCATTAGCGTAAGAGTTTGGTGGAGTTTTTCCGCAGTAACTGCAAAAAAAGGAACTTGATGTGTAGAATATTACATAGAAGCACTGTGATGGAAGTGACATGGCAGAGTGTGAGCGTAGCCGCCTGGATGATGGCCATGTTTGGTAACCTCTGACCTGTTGTCAGCCTTTGAAAGGGCCTCCTGTTGCTCCTTTCCATGGCCAGCGGTCATTCCTTTTCACTCCGTATGTAGTTCCCAGCCCACAGCGAGCTGCTCTGAACTTGGCTAATTAAGGATGAAAAGGCTCTGACGGGTTTTGCCTTTTCACTCTGAACAATGAGTCGTCACCATTCTGCAAGACTGGGGGTGAAAAAGAGAAGGACCAGGCCTCACAGCAGCCAAGGCAGTAGCCAAAACAGAACCAAGCGCTGGCCAGAACAGTTGCTGTTTTTGGTCCGAAGCACAGTGGGCTTGGAGCAACACTGTGTGGGAAAACGACCGGCACCATGCTGACTGGACCTTTCTGACTTGGCCACTTCATTTAAATTCTGCCCAGTTCTCAGTCATCTTTTCACATCCTGTGTCCACTTCTCCTAAGCCCTCTGTATTGTGTAGCTCATTAAAACACTGAGATGTTAGTTGGATGTAGATGTTGAGGTTACGGTGTCCATTTTAGCATGCAGCCTAGGCTCCAACCTGACTGTAACAGCAGTGACCCCCTGCCTGGCCTACCCAGCTGCGGTCGGGTGGGTGGTCCTGCTCTCGGCACTGCTGTGTCAGCCGACTGGTCAGCTTTTGTACGATTGTCAAAGGAAAAGCAGGCTCTGGCCTAGGGTCTGGGCGGAGGTGTCAACACAATCCCATTTGTCCCTGCTGCTGTCAGCTGTGAAGAAAGGGAAGTGGACAAGGCCTCATTATCAGTCTGGGAGGGACGGCTGGTGATTGGGGTCGACTTGACACACAGAGAGGCAATTCTGCACACATCGGACATCCTGCCCACACCCTCTGCTGACCCTTAACACCTCCTATGAATCCATGAATGTATATGCAGAAAAATTAACGCTCAAGTGGATGTTCTTTTTTTTAATCTCATGTTTTACCAGCCACCAAGCTGTTACATCTCTTTGTTATTGCCTGACCTTAGCGTTATCGGGTCCCTGCCCACTATTCAGCGGCTCTTGCCAAAACTGTCAGCCTTATCTGCCTCCTGTCAGACCCTCCTGAAGGCTAAAGGAAGAGGAGGAGAATGGGGGAAATCTCTATCAAATGTATACTGACGCCTCCTCAGCTGAGCATATCAGTGGTGAATAGCAGGGACTGAAGTTTCAAATGATGCCTCTTCACCTTCTTATCTCTGAACTGTTCTTTAACCTCGCCTACAGTGTTGCACTCGTGGCCGCTTGGCGGGCTTTTCCAAACGTCCTACACTGTAATCTAGGTTTCACCTCATAGCAGTTTAACTGTCAAGAGTATGTCCAGTAATTTTAGCCTTTCACTCGCTGCAGTTTAAATGACCTAAATTTAATCCAGTGGTCCCGTTGGCTACTTGGACACAGAACAGAACTGTCTCTGACCAAATCTATTTGAAAAACCAGTAATGTGGTTGTGATTATTCTGTCTCCTCACTAATCACTCTCTCGCTCTCTCCCCTCTTTGTTCCCCAGGGGAAAGTTTGCGGTGGTGAAAAAGTGCATCGAGAAGGCAACGGGGAAGCAGTATGCTGCCAAGTTCCTGCGAAAGCGACGGAAGGGCGAGGACTGCCGCATGGACATCTTAAATGAGATCGCCGTGCTGGAGTCAGCCAAGGCAAACCCCTATGTGGTGGCGCTGCATGAGGTCTACGAAACCAAAAACGAAATCATCCTCGTTCTGGAGTGGTAAGACAATACTGTGGATATTACTGAGAGTTCTTTAAAAGTTCACCTAAAAAAAAAGCTACACCACATTTAAGCAGCCTTGTCTGGCACTCCAAAGTTTATTCAAACTCTTGTGCACACACCCTTCCACCACCACAGATCTGAGAAGAAAGCGATGGCGGTAATTTAAATGGCCTTTTAAACTTTCCTCACTTGACAGTGTTTGAGCCATGCCAGGAAAACTGGGGATAAAATGATTAAGCCCTCAATCATTAGGGAGATGAAAATCCTTTAATCATCACTCACCAACTTTCCATGAGTGGAGTTTTTCTCATGCAGCATGTTTGAGGGATTTGAGGATACCAAACTGAAATTCCCCAGCATATTTATCCATTTCTACCTAGTAAGCAACAATCTTTGAGCTGGGAAAACCACACATCAGATCGTACATACACGTCATGCAACATCCTGTATTTAACATGACGAGAATGTCACTGTGTTGGTGTTTTCATGTGAATTGTCAGCTCTTATTTATCTGTCTGATCTGTGTAAAAACCCTTCCTGGCTTCAAGTTATCTGCTGGTGGCAGACTGTATGTGTCATTCAAGCCCTTCTCACCTCACAAAAAAAAAAAACGCTAACACGTGTGAAACGCATAGCTTTGCACTGTTGTGCATGAGCAATACCTTAAATGGAAATTCTCTCTGCGGTTTATTGCTCGTCTCGTCATAACCTCGACGCCTGAGTTTCTTGTTATGCTAAATGGCTGTCAGGAACTGTCACTTTACATACCAATGTGGCAGAACTGCACCGACCTCACTGTGTGAAAATTGCAATATCAAGCTACAAATGAGTCAGTAACACCCCACTGTGAGAACTGCTCAGTACTCAGATTCAACATGCAGGTGAAGCGTCCGGCAGCTGAGACGAGCTGCTCCCTCAGTGACCCGGCAAGGTCACCTGGCTGTCTGGCTCTCGTCTGTTGTGGTTGGGTGTTAAATGACATGATGCATATCCACTAAGTGTTCCTTGTCTGCTCTAATGACAGCCTCTAATTAGGAGTTGGAAAGGACACTTAGCATTTTAATTACCTCGCTCGCCTCATTAAAGGGAGATAACACGGGGCAATTATGCTTGAACCACGTTCCTCTGACCCTGTTCCTGAACTGCTCGCTGCGCAGGCAGGAAGCCCTCCCCTCCCCAGCCCTCGGTGGTCAGCCCCATCCCAGACATGGAATGCCTCCTCAGAACAAAGGTCTCTCAGTGGGGGGTGGCTGTGTTTGACCTCTGACTGAAGTGTGAAAGGGGAAGTAGCACCACAGGTCACCCCTGCATGCCTGCAGAGAAAACATAGCAGGAGGTCAGTCGGCACTGGTTCACAGTTCCTCTTCGGCTTCCAAATGAAGCTACACTGAGAGTCTTTGAGCACATGCACAATATTTTAGTGCTTAAAGAGCTCAATTTTAAAATGTCAGCCCTTTTGTTAGTCATTATCTATTGCAGCGTAGGTTTGTCCTAAAAGCAGCAGCAGCACTCATAGTGAGACCCAAAAAGCTGTCTGACCTCAGCATGAGTTTCAAGAATTGCAAACCATTTTCCATTTCCTGTGGGTTTAAATGTAAGCAGCAAGCAAGGCTCCCAAAAGTAGCACACACCACCATGCTGGTATAAAGTGTTGTGCACACACGAGCACACTTCTCGTAGCCACAACCACATCCTTGGTAATGTCAGAAAAATGGAGGCAAGAAGCTGAATTCTAATCATCTTTGAGAGCTCCAGTGTGCGGCAGTACCACAGAAAGCCCCAGTGTAATGACTAGGTTGAGAGATGGTCACTTTGATGAAAAATGAAGGTGCATCAATTTTTGCGCGTAGTAGCTATGCTTCCCGGAGAAGTCATCACTGTGACTGTGATCCAGGAAGCACAGTCTTTCATTTCCTGTTTTTCTACACATATGAAAGTATACTGTAAAAAAGTGACAAACATACATTTGCCTAACGCATCACAACTCCAGGAAATGCAGCCAAACCTATATAGCCCTTTGAACGCTTCACAGTAAATCTATGGAGGGAGATGTTTTTGCAGCCTAAGAAACTTCTTTAACTTTCAGCATCAAGTCATCTCATCATGCATTTTCCCTCCTCATACTGTTTCCACATTCCTAATGGCAAATCCACACTGTGAGAATAAATCTTTTTGCTTAATGATATGATTCCCCTTATTGTGGCATGACTAATTTAATTCAAGGAATTGAATTTAAGGTTTTCCAGTTCCTATTTGGAGCTGTTTTAGTTCAGAATGCACTGCCATGTTTCCTTCCTCGCCTTTTAGCATACAGTAACCCACAGCACTAATGACCTCAGTGGGCTTTAATTGGACTACACTGGAGCACAAGTGCTGTCCAGAAAATTCAGCCAACAGACAGGTTAGGCTTGAGGAAAGTGGTTGACCGGGTTCTGGTAAGGTGACGTTGGTGAGCGTGCGGCTTGGTGGTCAGCCAGAAAGAGCTTTGACTAAATAGGTTCTCTCTCAGAGCTAAAAGGAGGTTCACATTTACTGCTTAATATAGATAAAATGTAATAGTTTTTCAGCTTTGTTTAGCTCCTTTGTGCCGTCACTCATGTTGGCTGCAGTGGGTTTTTTCTTGCAGCTCGGTGCAGGGGAGGATGTCTCCCACATTGAAGTAGTGTGTACATTAACTCTCCTGGAAGGAGGGAGAGCGCGGAGACAATATTTAGACTTCAGGGGAAGTATCAGATCATTCCTAAGTGCTTGGCCAGAATGTGTGCAGTCTGTTGAATTTAAACAAGATGGTCTTTATCGAGGTTTTAAATCCTCCCAGGCGCTCTGCTGACAGCTTAATGAACCTATTGAAGCACTTTGTCATGTCAAGCCTTTAATTGTTCAGACAGGTACTGTAATAGTTGAAGTCCATGTTAAGCTGATTGCAGTTTTCAACAATAAAATCAAACCGCACTCATGTCTTCCATTTCCTCCCCCAAATGAAAACACTTACACCAGGCTTGCTTTTATTTGGTGTGCATGTGCAGATCAGTGTAAACAGATGAGTGCAATTTTATTGTACATCCCCACTGTTTTCATGTTTGCAACAAGCGGGGTAGGTGGTGGGTCAAGTATTCTGTGCTGGGAGCAAAACAAAAAAGAGGATTACATGGACCAATGACGGATATCCCCAAAATCCCAAAAAACATGAGTGTTATTTTCACAGCTGAGGATAGTAAAGAGTGCAGGGTTAGGAAGCTAACAGGGGATTGGGCGGTACTGGTTATGTAACAATCGTGCCCAGGGCCTGGTCGCAAAGTTTTCCTCAGAAGATAAAAAACATGTGTGCCATCTAAATCCACCACACATGGTTCTAGTTTTTTTGGGTGAACTGTCAGCTTCAGGCATTGATCTGACTGATGGAGCATCCAACGTAAATCCACCATGTCTCCACTTTGCTTAATGTTGTTACACAAGCGTGGCAAGACCAGGCAGGAATCTGACTTTTCCCTCTACAAAAATGTGAGAAGTCACCAGTGAGTTGTCTAATTACTAAATTCCAAAAAAGGCTAATCCCTCATACGTTGGTTGTTTTGAACAAGCGAGCAGAAAAGCTATGCAAGCTGAGGCTCACACAGTATCTGCTTACCAACTTGACACTACTCCCCTGCCACCCTCTGTGGCCATTCCTCTCTACTTTAAGAAAATGTTTGGGCTTTGATAAGTTGGCCAGTGTTTGCTTCTGTTGGCCCTTTTTGTCATTAAGTAAGTAGCCTGCAGTGTATCAAGCTGTATAAGACCTTATCTGAACCTGCTGTAAGCTGATACATATGAACATTCTTATCTCAGGTAATATTCCTGAGAACAGGAAGGTACATGCAGAGGCAGAGTACTGAAAATTATATTGATGCATGTTGGACTCGCATGCAGCATGGAGCTGTGGGTGGACTTTGTTCCTCCAAGCCAAAGTACACTAATGAGACATCTTGTTACATAATTTTAAAGAAATTGGAAATGACTTTGGGGTTGTTTAGTAAAATTGTCCTAATGGGACTGTTTGGAATTTGCTATTGTCGACTGTGTGTGATTCAAACTGAGAGGAAGGGTGTGTTTGTACAATTTAAAGGCGCAATTTATTATGACAAGTTAAAGTGAATAATCAAAAATGAAAGTAAGCCAAACTAAACTTCACTGGGTGGCTGCACAATTCTTTTCTTCTCATCTTATCTTTGTTTTGTTTTCTCAGTTTTCCTTCCTGTGCTTTCCTTCTAGCGCTGCCGGTGGTGAAATCTTCAACCAGTGTGTTGCCGACAACGGCGAGGCCTTCACAGAGAAAGATGTGATCCGGCTGGCCAAGCAGATCCTGAGTGGAGTGGCCTTCCTGCATCGCAACAATGTGGTGCATCTGGACCTGAAAGTGAGTATGCTGAAAGGTTATATGACAATATAGGACAGCCTATTCCCTCGAGTGGAAGGCTGGAGATATGAGATATGATTTCTGTTATGCAACCTCAACTCATTCAGTGTGGCACGACCCCATTCCCACGAGGAATAAGCCGGTAAAGGGAACTGACTGAGCTATCATGTTTTCTTTAATGGCCCCAGAGGTAACAAGCCAGCCGTCATTGATGTTTTTTTCCTATCTCACAAATTAACCAAGTATCTGGTTTCTCATTACACGTTATACAACTCATTTAAAAGTGAAAAAAACATCAGATCATTCCGACCCAGAATTAAGTACAGTGGTACATACACTCAAGTATATTCACACACAAACCACAGAGCCATACCAGTGGTTGGCAGGGACATCCTACCTGTTGTTGGTCTCATCTGATTGGCTTAGAGGATGATCTCAGAGGAGAAGCTCGATGCTGACTGACGAACTAGACCCCAAATCCTCTTGGATCCAGTTACCTCAAAATGCTTTGACTCAGTCACACTGCCATGTAATTAATGACCTCAGATGTCAGACCTCAGGTTCATTGGATAATCATTACATAACATACCTCTGTCTAATCTGTGTGCCCTCTCCAGCCACAGAACATCTTGTTGACCAGTGACAGACCTCTGGGGGACATTCGCATTGTGGACTTTGGCTTGTCCAGACGCATGGACAAAATCACAGAAGTCAGGGAGATCCTGGGTACGCCAGAGTATGTTGGTGAGTCTCACTTTTAGCCCCTTAAATACCCTGGATCACCTGTGTCTTTTCAATGTGAGTGCCATTTATCACAACTAAATGGGACTATGTGTTTCTGTTGCAGCACCAGAGATCCTGAACTATGAACCCATTAGCACTGCGACAGACATGTGGTAAGTCCTACTGTTGTTAATGAGACTATTTCCACTCATTTAACTGGATGCGATGCAGAACTCATTTAGTCTGTTTAACATCTGAGAATACAGACTTATTCAGGACAGTGACATCACCTCCCTAGCATGTAAAAGACAGTCTAGACCTTTGACCACAAGATCATCTTTGCCTTTACTTGCAGTTAGTTAATGAGTAACCGCAGCTCAGTGGAAGAAAGCCAAATCTGTTGTGTGTTACAAAACACATTCCGTAACCATCAAAGATGACAAATGACCTCATAAACATTCTCTTTCTTTCCCCTTTCTTTACCAGGAGTATCGGTGTCCTGACCTACGTCATGCTGACGGGTGAGTCTCCCTTCCTGGGTGACAACAAGCAGGAGACATTCCTCAACATCTCCCAAGTCAACATCGACTACTCGCAGGACACTTTTGAGGGGATCTCTGCCCTGGCCGTTGACTTCATTAAGTCCCTTCTGGTTAAAAACCCCAGGTGAGACTGCTTACTGTAAAGATGGAAATATGATCAGATGTTCTGATTATCGCTAAAACTGAAGTTTCCGTCAGCATCACTTAGAGCCGATTGACACACCAAGGATGTGAGTCAGGTTCACACCGGCACGGAAGTACATCCGCATGTGTCTAAATGACTGTGTGTGGTAATAAGATTTGCGTCACTAGGGCGAGAAGCAATTTCCTTTTTTGCAAACAGCAGCTGTAAACTCACCTCATTCAGAAAAAAAAGAGTTTTTTGGTCAGTATCTTTGTGTTTCGACATTACACCAAACACTGACACATCAGCTTTGTGCGTCATCATGTAAAAGAAAGAACAGGTGAAGTTGCAGTTGGTAACTTTTATGAAAAATTTAAGAAACCACACAGTAGTGCATGAGAAAGATGATCCGTCAAGAAATCATATTACTCTGCCTCCTGGTTGTGCTTGTATTGGCATTTGCTTTAATTCACTGTGCCTGATTGAAAACAAAAGGTCTGAGCCAGGGAGACGCAGCTGTCAATCATGTCAGTCAGCACTTGTGAACTAAATCATACTGTCAAACTAGGCAGCGCTTATCAAATATGAACCAACATTCTGTTACTGCATTGCCTATTTCTTGCCTCAAACAGTTTCAGAAACGTATTTAGTGCACTGTTTAGCTGTAAAATGATAACGTTTTTGACCCAGCTGCCATGCTGAAAGCAGTCGAGCCAAAATGAAGCCCTGTCCACTGACCAGAGGAAACTTTCTCATCTAACAAATATGATACAAAGTTATTTCTATAAAAGTTACCAACTGAAGCTTTAAACTAAGGTGTTTTTCAAGGGAAGCTATGTGACCACATGTCTGATGAACTTAACTCAAACCCTAATCCTGATTGAGAGATCCAACAGTGAGCCCGTTCTTTATCACCACAATTTGTTGATGAAAAGTAGCAGCAGCCTCTGTCTCACATCCAGAGCCATGATCTCCAGTCAGTATCGTTTAAATGCAGCAGATTACTGGTAGCGTTGGAAAAAGTGGAGGATTCCTCAGTGTTTGAGTAATCGGTGAGAGATGGAGGGGAAAAATCTTGAGAGCAAAAAGTGTTATTTTTTGTGGTTTCCCTAACCAAATGCTGAAAAGGAATATGGCCGACGCCTGTGAGATTGAGTGAATCGGAAGATCCAGGCAATGCGTCGGTTATGTAAACTCTTCAAGAATTTCCACTCATCCGCAGTGTTATTGTGTTTGTGTGTACAGGAAGAGAGCCACGGCAGAAGAATGCCTCAACCACCCCTGGCTGAACCCACTCCCCCATCCTCACTCCCACCCGCACCTCCACACCAGGTCGCCTTCGTCTTTGGACGAGCCGGAGACAAGCCAGTCAGAGTCGGAGCCCGAGAGCCCGGCACCCTCCCCTGAGCTGGACTTGATCGGGTCGTACCTCACGTGCCCGGGCCAGGGTGGGTTGAAGGCGGGACGTGACGCCTTTTCCTTCACTGAGCCCCCCTTTCCCACACGGCCTGAGATAAAGCAAGAGCTGATCTGCTGAACGACATTTCGCAGAGTAAAGAGACTGAATGAGTTCAAACTCCACGGAGCAGACGCTGAAAGCCAGTGAGCCTGCAGCTTCTAGGTCTTGGTCTGACTCAGGGCCGTGCTATATGGATGCTGTATGCCTGCTGCTGGCTGCTTCTACTGCTGTGATGTCTGTGAGCTGGGATGTGTGTAGTTTAATACCTCTGCATGTGTTTGAATAATTCTCCGTGCTGATTTATGATTGTACGGAAGGAATGTGAGGGGAATGAAGATGCAGGAGAAAGGCGTGGGAGAGGAGACAAGGATTTTGTCACAGGACTGCACTGCTGCCTTTTAAAAGTGACAGGGCTCAGCTTAACACTGTGGCTAGTTCACCCCTGCACGCACACTGGTTTCTCTTTTTACCCAATTAGCTTTTTGAACTGGGTTTCAGAGGAGAGGCAGCCTTGGGAAATGACTTCACTCACTGTGTGCTCTCATCAAAACAAGTTATGCTTCAGCTGACCCAGACATACCTTCTGTGATGAGTTTTGTTGAAGGAAGTTAAGGGTTTTGACAGATGGTTGTACTTAACAAAAGAATTAAAAAGACTGTGTCACTGTTTTATGTTTATTTATGTGTGTTTGCTATGCCACTTCACCCTCTTACATACACAAAGCCACATCAATGTCTTGAGTTTAAGTTGGAAATGGTAGCATTCTTGTTTTTTAAGGACAATCTTAAGCACTTTTTTATTTTGTTATTGGTTTTTTAGTGAGGAAACCAAAGGCTCATCAAGTGTAGTCAGCTGTCACACAATGTACTGTACATATTAACCATTTTCTACCATCCACTGTTTTTGTCACATCAATTTTGTTTTTACACAAAGTGCCACTTTTTCAACCTCACTTCTGTGTTGATATTACAGTTTTGTTTTGTTGGCTACTGCACAAATTGCACAAGTTTTTTTTGTACTTAACTGCCATCAGATTTCAGGCTCTTCAGATATTGTGAAATCATCAGTCTTGGAAAGAGGGAATGGCAGTGGGTTGAACGCAATGGTTCAGTTTTATTATTAAAATTGCAATGGATGAACAATGACATGGTCAACTGAAGATTTGTATAAATATGTGATGTTTGCCTTCAGATGCTCGGGAGATTGGGAGGAATTTCTCAAAAAAGTACTGAAATGTATATTGTGAGTTAGTATTAAGATTAATCTGTAAAGTAATTGTTTTTACCAGTGTATGAATGTTAACATCATTATCTTATTTTGTACGTTAACTTTTTACTTATTCCTGTTGTTTTCTGCTCATGAAATTCGGGCAGGTTTGCACTTGTCCTTGTGGACGTTATGATAAAATGAATAAATGTTGATGGCATGCATTGCAAAATGTAACAAAGAAAAATACAGGTGCATTTTGTATCAAACTCCTCTGCTTGTGTGTGTGATTTATTTTTGAAACAACAATAGCAATGAAATTTAACATTTGGCAGTCACATTTTACAAGCACTTAGCTTATCCCTACCTAATTTAATTTAAGGGTTCAGTTACATCCAAACTACTGCAGTGAGAAACTAGTATTCTAGATTTGGGTACAGTAATACAACCAAATCCAGGCTTGTTTTCATCTATGGCAATAAATGACTGGCCATAAAAAAAAAAAAAAAAAAAAAAACTTATTTATTGCTTTTTTTTTTTTAGTCATGATGCTATCATGGCTGTAGGGAAGGCAATGGCTGTCAACCACTAGGTCTGAAATCATCAACAAGTGATGCAAAGATCACCATGAAATGTGACAGACATCCATGGTCCCCAGACAACAGATAATATATCTTATTTGGTGATCCTCTGACTTTTCCAGCAGGTCAAACATGTCATTTTTCCAATTATTTAGTTAATGACCAACCTGCAAAATTCCCAACATTCCCATCATGCTCTGCTGTACTTTGTGGTTAGTGCTAATTAGTAAATGTTGGGATGCCAAATCTATAACATAAACATTTATGTTGTCTCTGTGTAGTTTCAAAGCTGCTAACTAGGGAGATTGTCTCTTCACCCTGCTTACAACTGGAATTATGCTCCATCAATTATGTCAGCATCATCAGTGGACCTCTGATGGCTGCACTGTTCAACTAATTGAGCTCACTAGCATTTAAAATTGTAAATTAAAATGAGTATCCCATAGAGTAGGCTACCCCACAACTATCTGATATGTAAAAATATAGTAGAAGAGTAATGGCGCCCTGAGCAGAGAATTAAGTCACGCTTCCTCTGTGTGTGTTGAAATCCAAGCTTCTCTGTTTTGTGTTGTGGTAGACAGTACCGTGGCGAGTGCATGTGAGTCCTTGTGATTCCCCATGTCTGTATCAGGAAGTCCTCCAAGCCAATTTTTGTAGTGGCCAAACAGTGGAATCTGTCACCTGATGCAATTGGGCCCCAATAACTTTTCCCATAGACTTGCATGAAAAAGATGTCTGTATCCATGGATACATTTTTTCAAGCATCACATCTACAAAATGACTCATTTTACCATCAGAATTTGATCCATTCAGTTCAATAACATTAAGAAAATCTAGAAAAGCCACACTGTTAAATCATTTTTATACCCATTTAAGTTAGTGGAGTGCTTAACTGGAAGTGACTTAGTCTTTGTTACGCCTGCTCCATGGGCCCAATGATGTGGAAGCAGTGCTGGTCATCAGTCATTTTATGCGTGGCAGTTAAACATTTTTGGCTTCATGTGCCAACAAATAACTTTCACAGGAATAAACGAGGTCCCACCTCCAACGATGTATCCAGATGTCCTATAATATATTCATGGTGTGTGCCCCACTGGCTAGCAAATCACTGCTGCCCCGCATTGCATTGGTTCCCCCTCAGCCCCCTTCCCCCAGGTTAACACCATGAGCACTGTTGCTGTTGTTAGTGCTGTTAGTACCGTTAGCTGCTCGCTGTGTTAAGAACTGTGTACAGACAACTTGAATCACACTCTGAATCATAGAAATGCTCTGAATGTTGTATAGAGCTCCTTTAAAGTGTCTATGACTGGTGAGTAATTTAACCAAAGAAAAATATTCCATGTTGTTATTGTATCAATAGAGAAAAGTCAGGCTTATTGATCATCTTGCAACAACTTTTTTGTCTTCTTCCTATCTAACTTTTCGTATCATCTCACCACATATTGCAATCTCTCTAAAAACCCACACATTATCCCTGTTCTTATCACATAATGCTGATAATAAAGACCAATACCTTTCTGTATTTCTGCTTATCTTGTGTCTGACATTCACCTACGTGCGTAGTCAGGAGTAAAAAGCAGATCTCATAACCAAAACAGATTATCAGATCACATGAAAAGCATCTGCTTTTCCCCTCTGCAAGTCTATTTAGAGAAACAGAGTATCATAAAGAAAATAAAAGTCCTCTCTCAGGCCAGCCTTCCATAAATATCCAGCAGACTCTCTGAACAGGAAATGCCAGCATCCGTGAAGAGGAACACAGAGTAATGCTTTCCACTGCAGTTAAGTCTCTTTCTCTCTCATGCACACACTCTTGTGCTTGTTTACTTGTGTCAGGTTAAACAATATCCCTGCTCTGCCAATATCCTGAATTCTTGCTTTAATGTGTTCTTCCTCTTGCGGTCGGCACTGAGCCAGTTCAGCTCTGCTGTGGCCAATGAGGAGAGAGCAGGGCTCCCCGCGGGGTCCTGCTCCGGTGGCTCTTGGCTGGACCGACCGTTTCCCCTAAAGAAAGTCCTGCTGCATGGAGCTGAGGAATGCCAGAAATGTTCAGAACTGGCCTCCTTCCATTTTTTCAAACATTGTCCTTTATGCATCTCTTCCCTCCTTGTGGGGTTTGTTTTCTCAGTGGGAGGTGGTATTGTTTCTATACAGCACACACACACATTAACATATGCAATTCTTGAAGTGGTTGATTAAGTGCCTGTTTCTCAGAAGGACTCTCAGGATAGGTTGATGGACTTTGATATTTAAGGTGACCATTAGAGGATGATTTAAGACAGATGTGGGGCAGATTGTGCTGTAAAAGAGCACTTGGCTCCTAAAGATCCAAACAAATACAAAGAGTAGTCAAAAAGCTTGATGTGACATCCAGATAACCTGCTCTCAACAGTCTCTGTGGATTGAAACTGAGGTCCTGCTTAATGGTTTTTGAAGCTTATCAGGCAACAAATCCTGCTTTTAAACACCCCCTGTGAGCTATATTACCTTGTCAAATCCATTCGTCTCTCTTGAGTCTGTGTAAAAACAGTAAAAACAGATAACATCAATGTAACAAATATTGATTTTTCTTGCACAATATGAAACCTAGTGTCTGACATCTGCTGGACTGTAAGATGTCTTTGCTGTGGGGGCACTCAGCAAGCTTTTCATCTCATGCTAACCAGCCACAGACAAGCCTGTCAGCGCTTCCAGCCATGACACATTGATCCCTTGAGGTCTGTGAAAATCCAGAGCTAAGATTTCAAAATGTAAACCTCTTGGGAAGCTGGAAGCGCTACATTCTACACTGTATAGGTCAAAATGGTCAGTTATATAACCAAAAATTATTTGACAGCAGGGTGAATTTTTTTCCCTTTGGCCTTCTCATCTCTATCCATGTGCCACTGACAGCTTGGGAACACACTACAAAAATGGTACTGTGACTTTAATCAAATATTTGTTTATGTAACGCACTTTCCTTCGTCATAGTTACATATTTTCTGTTATCTGAGTGGACGAAGAGGACGCGTAAGAGCTTTAATGGAGTATGTATCGTTTGGCACACATTGTAGTACTTTATGGTGCTCTCTTTGTGACTTGTTCTACTTTATGTGTGGCAGTATGTAGCAAATAGTTTGACCCTTTTATGAAACCTGAACTGGAATCCGACTTTGTATTCTAACTTGTTACACACAGATGTATACACATATGTATAGGATTAGATAAGGTTTTTCATGCCCAGGAATGGATTACTGAACGGGCTGACCAGGTCCAGGCCCAGGGGCCCAAATTGTTAGGGCCCCCTACCCCCGGCTTTCCCTGCCAAATTGGACTCAAATGAACATGCACCAACCAAGAAAAGACTCAAAATTACCTCAAAGAGACAAAACAGGACCACAGTGGAATTAAAAACAAACAAAAATAACTACAAAAAAGGGGCAAAACAACCCAAATGAGACACAAAATGACTAAAAAGAGACACAAACAACTACAAAGAGAATCAAAACTACTACAAGGAGACACAAAACGACTACAAAGAGACACAAGCAACTATGGTACAAAGATACAAAACAACCAGAGACACAAAACAACTACAAAAAGACACATGATGACAACAACAGAGACAAAAAACATTAAAAAGAAACAAAAAATGGCTAAAATGGGACACAAAGCAAACACACTGAGACACAAAGCAACTACAAAAAGACACAAACTACGACAAAGATACAAAACAACAGAAAACAGACACAAAACTACTACAAAGAGACACATAACAACCAAAAAGAGACACAAACTACTACAAAGAAACACAAGGCAACTACAAAGGTACAAAACAACCACAGAGACACAAAACAAGTAGGAAGAGATACAAAACAACCACAAAGAGACAAAAACAACTACAAAGAGATAAAAAGCAGCCACAAAGACACAAAACAACTACAAAGAGGCACATGACAACCACAAAAAGACAATAAATAACAACAAAAAGAGACAAAATCACCATAAAGTCTGCGTGTCTTGCTCCTATGATGGAGAGGTGGTGGGGCCTTTTATATATCTGTGGCCAGGGGTCCACTGTCTCATTATCTGCCTATGCCCACCTCGTCAGAATCCGATGCTGGTCAGTGGTCCTCATTGTCAGATACTGACACACAGAGGCACCCTTTAGCGTCTGTAACTGATGAATTATAAAGAGTGAGGAAATCCACATAGGGTGGGAGCATTGGTGGATGGGTCAAACCATGTACTTGAAAATTTTTAGTGTCTGTGATAAAGCAACAGACATTTTGTCTTACAAGGTTTATCACACCAACAACAATGCACAGTTAAAACACATTTTGAAAAAAACAACAATTTGTAAAAATGGATGAAAACTGTAAAAACCACAGTTGATGAAAACAATGTTAACAGGTCAGGGAAGAGGGCCTGTTCTAATCTGTTCAGGGTGATGATCGCAGAACAAAAAAAAAGATTGCTTGCAGAAAAAGCAGTGTGCATGTGACAAGCAGAAACTGACACGCCATCCCTGAGCATTCAAACTGATGCTACAGGAGTACGTAGATCATCATAGTTTAACACATAGGGGCAGTGACCAAGCATCAGTATTTGATGAGTTAGAATGAGAATGTGTCGGATTAGATGTCCAACTGCAGAGACAACCACCGCACAGTGCTCCATCACAAGTTAGACACAAATGAAGTGTTCCC